CTCTCTCTCTCTCTCTCTCTCTCTCTCTCTCTCTCTCTCTCTCTCTCTCTCTCTTCTCTCTTCTCTCCTCTCTCTCTCTCTCTCTCTCTCTCTCTTTCTCTCTCTCTCTCTCTCTCTCTCTCTCTCTCTCTCTCTCTCTCTCTCTCTCTCTCTCTCCCTCTCCTCCCTCTCTCTCTCTCTCTTCCCTCCCTCTCCCTCCCTCCCTCCCCTCTCTCTCTCTCTCTCTCTCTCTCTCTCTCTCTTTCTCCCTCTCTCTCCCTCCTTGCTTCCCTTCGCTTCCTGAAACTGCCAACAGCATCTCTCTCTCTCCGCTAAACATGCTACAAGGTCCAAGAAAATATCCGAGAGGGAACGCGGTTTTTGTTTACACGTCAATTGCTGATCCCCCCCCCCACACACACACACACACACAACGGCCGGCCGGAAGGAGATCGAACCGGGGCTCGCTTTCGTGGGATCGGAATTCTTATCAGCAATGTTATTATTGACTGTTGTTGTTATTATTATCATTATTGTTGTTGTTGTTGTTGTTATTGTTATTATTATCGTCAATGTTATCACACTAATGATAATAATAATAATAATTGTTGTTGTTGTTGTTACATATTGCTGTTTTTCAATCATTATTGTTATGTTATTATGATTATTATTATCATCATTATTACTATTATCATAATCATCTTTATCATTATTATTATTATGGTTGTTATTACTATTATTACTATTATTATTATTGTTTTATTTATTCTTATATCATTATATTGTTATTATCATTATCATCATTATTATTTTCATATCAATATCATTGCTATTATCCTCATCATTTTTATCATAATGATCATCGTCATCATAATCATAATCGTCATTGATGTTATCATTATCATTATCATTATTATTATAATTATTGTCATTGTTGTTATTATTATTATTATTTATCATTGTCATGATTGGTTTCTGTTTCTCTTTCTGTCTTTGTTTCTATTATGTCTGTCTGTCTGTCTGTCTCTCTCTCTCTCTGTGTCTCTCTCTGTCTCCCTCTCTCTTTGTGTCTGTCTGGTTCTCTCCCTCCCTCCCTCTCCTTCTCCCCCACCCTCTCTCTCTAGTGTATGTATATATCATAAATACATACATATTTATCTATCTGTATATACATATATACTTAACAATTTGTCTATCTATTCATCCATTCACCTATCTATTTAACATCTTATTCATCTATCCATTTATACATTTATCTATTTATCAGTTTATATTAATCTTTTTCGTCATAGCTGTCGCTCCCTTGTTAAAAAAAACTGAGAACCACGGGTATAGGGTTTCTATACTCTACGTAGATTTGTATGGGTATATAACATCTTAAAATTTTATCTTTATTTCGCACTTTGATGTTAAAATTCCAAGTTTTTGCGAGTTTGGACGTGTCCGATCAACATAGGAACATCCAGCACATATAGGGGAGATCTATGATACATTCTCAATCTATACCAAAAAATGAGTAAGCACAATTATCTAATGTAAAAAGATGAATCATGCAATTAGAGTATTAACTTATAATTAGATTATTAACTTCTAAAGATTCTTCTACTCCTTGAAATGGTGGTCTGTTTGGAATCACTTTTCCACATCTATCAAAAGATAGCTCTATTGAAAAACAGATAATTCCGGTCTGAACATTTATTCAAAAGCACACGTTTTCCATAAATATGGAGTTTTATTTTCCATATGATAATCAAAGTACAAATAGTGCCATGAACTCCAATAAACAGTGCTGGATGTGAAAGATTTGTTTATGCGGGCCATTGGAACCAAAAACGTCAAGAAAGATGTCATTTTCATCTCAGTTGGACGATGAACATAATGATTATCAGCTGATGACCAAAATCGACAATGCAAAGAATGTGTTGCATCTATTGAAAGCTGTCAATTTTCGTGATGTGAGTTGGAACCCTGTATTTCATCGATACTAAATAAGCACTTCTAATTCGTAATTTTTTTAGATGTGACTTAAAATCCTCGAAGGGCGACTTGTTTTTCATTTGTGTTGGCCTTTATATAATGGAATAATTTCAGTTTCACTATGCCATTATTTAGAAGGAAAATTTTACCTTTATTGGACTTAATAAACGAAAATAAGGAACTTTTCTTCTATGGGTTTTCCATCGTAACTCGATATTTACAAAGTTATGACGTACGTGAGAGATAAAAACGAATAATGTTTATGTACTGAATTAAGAAAAAAAGTTATCAGTTATGACAAATTTTTAATACTTATATTAACTTACATTAGCTCACATACCTAGCAAGGAATAGCAAACGTTCTTTCAAAATTTCATGAACATTAACATTGCAAATAGAGGAAAGAATAGGTAATGTACAATATCTTAATATATCCTTTGAGATTTAGTTATATCAGAGCTATGTGCTCATTTCTAGATATATTGGTTTGTGTACAAATTTCAGGTTTGTTGTAAACAGACATAATTTTACTAATGCCTAAAAGTCAGCAAATCATAGATGCAATTTGAGTATAGAATATATTTATATTAATGTTGCACCACTTGATTTCTAGGTCAAATATATTTTGACAAAAATATTATAATATTTGGGTTTCTTTTATCACTGCATGTTCATTTTAACTGTATTTTTTAATTCAAATATCATCTGAATGCACATGCTGGATTTGTATAATATTAATGCAACATATAGTTTAATATGATGTAGTATGAGGGAAATGAGTGATGTTTTGACTCATTTTGATGTAATATATATAGTTTTATCGTCCATATATCATCCAGTTCATACCTTTAATAAAGGCTCGTGTTTGATAAAGCATTCTTGCTAGTTTCATTTTTACTGAACTGACTGGAACAGCTTTGGAAAGACTGAAATGGATTACACTAAAGTGGTCATTGTTTTATCGTGAATTAACATATAAGTGTGAAAGAAAAGAGAGTAATTTTAAAGTTATAAAAAGTGATTGCTGATAATCATGGGTTATGCAGTGTGTTTCTTTTCTCCAACAGACGGCCACAGTATTTGCCAGCAGTAATGGATTGAAAGTCACAGTTGAGGAGGCAAAGTGTATCCAAGCCAATGCTTTCATCCAGTCAGACATGTTCCAGGTAAATATATCTAAGTATATAGTTGTGTGATAGAACAATGCAGAGATTAGCTTATAGAAACGCACACGCACACGCACACACACCACACCACACACGCACACACGCACACACACCACACACACACACACACACACACACACACACACACACACACACACACACACACACACACACACACACACACACACACACACACACACACACACACACAAAAAAAAAAGAAAAGAAAAAAAAAACATGCTTTTATATGCTAAGTATATGACAAGGAAAAACATGAATTCCTGGATACCCCATGACTTGCAAACATTGTGGATAATGGCTTACCCACTTTAAACTCACAAATATCTTGTCATTGATTGTGACAGTTTTTTTTTTTTTTTCAGTTACTAAGGCAGTTTTTGGCATTGTTTTTTTATTGAGACATTATTTCAAAGGATATTTATTAAGTGGAGAAAAGGATTTCGTTATTTCAAAAAAGGAAATTCCTTGCAATCTATTGTCATCATTGCTGTGATTTACAGAAAATAACTTGAAGAATGAGGTCGTCATCTTTTCCTTTATCCTACAATAATCCAGACCAAATATGGAAATGTGTTGATTTTGGGTCCCCTGGAATAAGGGACCATGTAATGATTTTGAGCTGACTGCTTATCCTTTACTTCAAACTTTCAGGAATATAGCATTCGAGAGGATGTTATAACATTCAAGGTGAACTTGAATGTCTTTGTTGAATGTCTCAATATCTTTGGTGGCAGCAGTACTCCTGGCATTACACCAGCGCTGAAGATGTGCTACAATGGCTATGGCTCACCACTTATTCTGTTGTAAGTTCATTTTCTTATTTTATTGCTGACAGCTTCATTTATTTATCACTTACAACCTCAATTTTTTAGGTGCCCTTTACTACACTTAATAAAATACAGTTCTTTTACTCAGACTAGAAGAAGCCGGGGTGTTGACAGATTGCAGTATACGGACTCAAGAGGCAGATGATACTCTTGACTTCAATTTCTGTAACACAGGTAATAAAGTTATTAACTAATGATTACTTGTAAAAGGGATTGTACTACACTAAGTATGAGGGAGGAAGAAATGTGCCATATATGTATATATTTTGAGTGGTTTCCTAAATATGAGCAGTTCCTCACCTTGCATGATGTACTTACACAATGTACTTATGACAATATGACTGTAATGATATATTTCCATTAGTTAAATAATATTACTGTCCTCATATTATTTTGTTTACTAAAGGATGAAAAATATTCCAGGAGTGATCAATAAAGTGATAATGAGATCTGAGTGTCTGAAGGAGGTATTTTCTGAGCTTGACATGTCCAGTGACGTCCTAGAAATCTTGATGTCTCCAGATCCTCCATATTTCCGTCTCTCAACTTTTGGAAATTATGGAACTAATCATGTAAGTTTTCCATAAGGTTTTAATCTATGTAGTACAGTTTTTCATTCAGAACAGAAGGTGGGATGTTGACTTAGTTATTGGTTTTGACTCTACCATCCAGGGGATAGTAATGCAAAGATGTCAAGTTAGAATATCTGGCCTCTCAATGTTTCTTGCAAACACATTGTTATTACATCTGGGCTCTCATTATTTTTAATGTTTATAATAGATCCCATTTCTGTTTCTGGAGGATTTTCAGTTTGTCTTCCAAAAGAATGCTGTAAAAAAGGAATTTTCCATACTTCTTTGGCATTATCTAATACATATTTAACCTTTTTTTATTATATGAAATATAAAATCAAGAATATAATTGAAAGTAATAATATGACATGCCCATATTTTCAGCAGTTATTATATCCTATCCTTTATATTGATATTTACTGATTAATAAGAGATTCCTTCCTGGTTTCTATTTCTAGTTTTCCATCCATTAGTTTCAGTTACCACTCACAGCAATGATTTTGACAATTCAGTCCATGCTGAAAGAATTGAGTTTTGCAATTCAGTTAAGATTCAGATTATTCATTTTTACAGATCAATTAAGACTTGAAGATTTTTTTTTTTTACAATTCACAGACAGATATACCAAGAGACAGTGACATGGTGGAGAATTTCTCATGTACTCAAACTATGACCCAACGGTACAAGCTCTCACTTCTGCGGCCATCTATTAAACCTCTAAGTGCTTCTCAGAAGGTGTCAGTTCGAACAGATGAGCGAGGTTTCCTCTGTTTACAGTTTATGATTAAGACCGAAGATAACCATATCTGTTTCGTCGAGTTCTTTGTAAGTATTGTGATTTTTGGGTTTTATACAGGTAGAGTTTCTGCTCTAGTAATGATTAGAAGATATATATAAGTTGATTTTTAGTAGAATGTATTGGTGTTTGTCATTACATTGTGATCGCTGATTGCTATCAGTGCTGCAATATAACAAAAAAAAAGAATATTTTTAATGGCTATTAAGTATAATAGAAAGTTTGTAGAATCTATCATAAATAGATGGATAGACAGATATGAAAATATCCTGTAACCTTTTCTCATTCCAGTGCTGTCCAGATGAAGAAGGAAGCGAATAGTTAACATGAAAGCATATATTGTATCCACTACAATTTAGAATGCTTATTGGCAGCAATGCATAGTAGGTTTATTTATCTTTATGCAGCAATGCCTGTCGGAGAATGGATAAGGACCACTGTCAGTTGGCAAGTTTTGATAGAGATAAACCAAAGTTATACTATATACAGAGTGATATTTATTTGTTTGGGTATTTTATCAATGAAAATTCTATGCATTATATTTTGGGAACAAACTATGTGTAATGAATAAATAAAACCTTTATACTTATTACATTTATAATTATTGTTTTATTTTTTATTTTGTTCATGTAAGATTTGTGTTGAGAACAATATTTAGAAGAGTAAAGTGTTTAAAGAATTAGTTAGTATATTATTTGTGCTATTACATTAAAAGAATGAGATGTGGTTAGATTGGAGATTCTTTTCTATAACAAATGTGAATCTTTTTTGTATTTTTGCAGAAAAAAAGAATACAAAAGTAACTTTCCGTATTTTTGCCACCCTTCTATAGCAAACTGAATTATGAAAGAAATATTCAGAAAACTGTTATTATATTCTTCTTTCTAAAATATGTTTAGTTAAGATTGTAAAACAGTTAGAGAATCAATACATATATTTTAGTTTCCCCATGAAGTCCATCGATAACATAGTTACCTGTCTTGTCATTTTCGTTATGACCACAGGCATCTCCAAATGTTCTTGATGAGAGAGTTCGTAACCCTTGCTGCTAGGCCAATATGTCTGCTGACTTTCTGGTCTGACAGCCCAGAGTTATGAACTACACTACCAAGATAAGGAAAGTTCTCTGTGACTTCAATGTCCTTGACACAAGCAAGTACTGACCGAACAGGTTCTCCTAGCAAGTCCCCAAAATCCCAGATCTTGGTTTTGGTCGAGACCTCTAGATCCAAGGGCTTTGCTTCATTACTAAATGCATCCAGGGCTACCACTAAGGTTTGCAAAGACTCAGATAGGATAGTAACATCATCAGCAAAGTCAAGGTCAGTAACCTTGATATTGCCCAGAGTTGCTCCACAATGACTAATAGTCAATAATAATGAAAATTCAGTAAAATGTTCCAATAAGTCATGAAGCACAACTTCCCGTTTCTCGGCACTGTCAGCATCTGCTTGGGGTGAGAGGAAAAGACAAAACACTATATTGAGGAGCTGTTTGTTGTCCAAGTAGGTAAAGTAAAGGTTTGATGAATTTTTTGTGATTTAGCTCCTGTTACTAAGGTTAATGTTACCAAGAGTGACGTACAAAGGGAAATAAACACCATACTTCTTATAACGAAAGAAATAGTCATAAACACATGTACAGCTACTGCGGTCTTATATTTACCAAAAAAGGTGAAAATATCAGCTATCCACAGTACCCTCACATAACCAGAGTTCTTAATGTCGCCTTATCTATAAGTTGGCAATGAATAGAAAGTAGGAAACGATAGTTTGGAATTTTGGGTTCACATGATAACCTGGTTTTGCATCGCTCCATACAAGTTCAGTTTACATGAGGATTGATGTATTTCTCGTGATTTAGCTCCTGTAAATGGTGACTTTCCGGAAAGGCCACGTGACGAATCTGTAGTCTCAGTAAATCATTTTTTATATCATATTCGTTTGCTTGTGCTAGGGTTTTGCTTCAAGGTCCTTGACTTTTAGAGTTCACCTGATTTAATACTTTCTAAAGTATTTGCTTGTTTTATATTGATGATTTTTCCTAAAATTCAACTGCATTTTAAGGAAAGTCACAATAGGCTTAAATCAGTGATTGAGAGGGTAACACCAAGGGACGAATGCTCACTGTAATGTTCAGTAAAATTCTAGTTTCTTCTCGCGCTCTCTCACACTTGTGTATTGCTTCACTATTTTTTTCATTTGCGACAGAAGTATATAGATGTTTCTTAGGTTCCTTCGCTTTGTTGGTTCCATATATTTTTTGCCTTGGTAGTGGCAGCTAATGGAAACTACACCAAAAGCCACATTATAAATTACTGATTTCCACTTTGAATATGATAGGTATCATAAGGAAACGTATTAGGGAGCAGTTCATTCACATGAAATGTAGAAACACTTTGGCACTGTGTATCGGTCTATTTGATTGTGAGTGTCTCTGAAAAGAATATGGAGATATACGCCAGGCTATGCAAGAGTCACAACGGATGTAAAGGAATTTGCTTAAAATCTTGAATGATACAAGATTTTTCTGAAAAATTAATAAGATGGACCATTGACACCATGGACCATGCTGTTAAGTTGTGGTCTGCTCATGAAGACAGAACCAATTTTCAGTTTGAAGAAGTTATGCACTTTTCTTTTGACCACTCTCTCTTTCTCTTTCTTTCTTTCTTTCTATCTTTTTCTTTCTTTCTTTCTTTCTTTCTTTCTTTCTTTCTCCTTTCTCTCTCTCTCTCTCTCTCTCTGTCTCTCTCTCTCTCTCTCTCTCTCTCTCTCTCTCTCTCTCTCTCTCTCTCCTCTTCTTCTTTCTTTCTTTCTCTTTCTTCTTTCTTTCTTTCTCTCTTCTCTCTCTCTTCCTCTCTCTCTCTTCTCTCTCTCCTCTCTCTCTCTCTCCCTCTCTCTCTCTCTCTCTCTCTCTCTCTGCTCTCTCTTTTTTCTTTTTTCTTTCTCTTTCTTCTTTCTCTTTCTTTTTCTCTTTCTCTCTTTTCTCTTTCTCCTCTCTCTCTCTCTCTTTCCTCTCTCTTCTCTCTGTCTTCCTCTCTCTCTCTCTCTCTTTTCCTTTCTTTTTCTCTTTTTTTTCTCTCTTCTCTCTTACTTTCTTTTTCTCTTTTCTCTCTCTTTTTTCACTTTGTCTCTCTCTCTCTCATTCTCACTATTACGATACCTTCGCGTGACGTCACAACATATCGTAGCAACAACCGGGAATAAATTATATTAAATTCGCATAGTGTTCGAGAGAAATTATTCAGAATTTAAAAGTAACTTTATTTAACAGTTTGAGCTATAAAACAACTCCGAATTATATCCTTTTATCATTGATATATCAATCTTTCACGAGCAGCAAAATGATATCGGGAAATGATACGAGAACAGATACCACTTGGCTAACATTTTCAATATTGACATGTTTCCCCAGCTGCAACTTCCTTAACGTTTGATACTACGACTTACTTTCCACCCCCTCCCACCTTCCCCCTCGGTTGAGTATACGGTCCCAGGTTTCAACTTGGTTTCACAATTTAACGTTCCAGTCTAGTTTCAACTTAGTTTCCAATTTAACGTTCAGTCTAGTTTCAACTTAGTTTCACAATTTTAACGTTCCAGTCTAGTTTCAACTTAGTTTCACAATTTAACGTTCCAAGTTTCAACGTTCCAGTTTAGTTCAACTTAGTTTCACAATTTAACGTTCCAGTCTAGTTTCAACTTAGTTTCATAAATTTAATAAGTCTGCCCGACGCTGATATGTCTGTTAGTCGTAATGTCTGCACATAAGGATCTTTAGACATTGCTTCCATTTGCATACACACAGTTACAAACAAACACAATCGCACACACACGTATATGCACATGCACAGTCTCACAGGCAGAAGCACATAAAAGGCCTTTTTTCCGGTGCCAGGAAACTGTCATCTAGTCCAGTGTTGTCCAAGATGGGGTCCACTACATAGACCATAAGGGTACGTTAACAAACAAGAAAAACACACACAGACACAACACACACACACACACACACAACACACACGCACACGCACACGCACACGCACACGCACACGCCACACGCGCACACACACACACACACAACACACATACACATAAAAAATCACATGTTCTATGAATCATAATTTTTATTCGTGTACTAAATTCGAATTTATTGACCAACACTCCTGCAATGCAGTCTTTTCATAATTAATATGTTATTTGCATTATCCTAAATAAAACAGTCTATTTAGCCATGGTGGACGGGGGGGGGGTTAGTAAAGGGCTGTCACGTAGCACTTTTTCCGTCAATTTTCTGACAATTTTATTAACATCAATACAAACATTCTCGAATATAACTCTGATTTGACTATATTTGCTGAAAAAAGCTGACGTCAAGGTTTTCAGACGGAAACGTTCATTATCGCCTGACTGGAAAATCGACAATTCGCTCAAAAATTTACAAAATTTCAGAAAAATTGTCAAAAAATGACGGAAAAAGTGCAAGTGTGTGAAGCACCTTAACAGTACATGGAGGTAATAAAGAGTACAATAGGGGAAAATGTTTAGACAACACTAATTGAGTTGAAACTTTTTCGCACAATTATTTATTTCGCTAATGCTTGTACACTTTATATGATATATATTACTGGTTTAATCTCTCTCTCTCTCTCTCTCTCTCTCTCTCCTCTCTCTCTCTCTCTCTCTCTCTCTCTCTCTCTCTCTCTCTCTCTCTCTCTCTCTCTCTCTCTCTTCTCTCTCTCTCTCTCTCTCTCTCTCTCTCTCTCTCTCTCTCCTCTCCTCTCTCTCTCTCTCTCTCTCTCTCTCTCTCTCTCTCTCTCTCTCTCTCTCTCTCTCTCTCTCTCTCTCTCTCTCTCTCTCTCTCTCTCTCTCTCTCTCTCTCTCTCTCTCTCTCTCTCTCTCTCTCCTCTCTCTCTTCTCTTCTCTTTCTTCTCTTTCTTCTTTCTTTCTTTCTTTCTTTTCTTTCTTCTTTCTTTCTTTCTTTCTTTCTTTCTTCTCTTCTCTCTCTCTCTCTCTCTCTCTCTCTCTCTCTCTCTCTCTCTCTCTCTCTCTCTCTCTCTCTCTCTCTCTCTCTCTCTCTCTCTCTCTCTCTGTGACAAAATAGGTAAATTGATAGATGAATAATGAAAATATATTCGAAGGTGATTAAACTTATAAAATGCTTTAGTCGGCTGATACATACGTCACTGATAAAAATAGCTTGGGTAATGTTGTGAATATACCAATTTATGTATTAGATGTGCTTGCAGTAGAGTTGCATATAAGCCAAAGTTTCACATTTCGCTGCACTTTCTAAATTTCTTTTTCAATTTAAAGTGTGGACTGTATATTAATTTAATCTTATATATATATATATATATATATATATATATATATATTATATATATATGTGAATTGTGTGTGTGTATGTGTGTGTGTGTGTGTGTGTGTGTGTGTGTGTGTGTGTGTGTGTGTGTGTGTGTGTGTGTATATATATATATATATATATATAATATATATATATATATATATATATATATATATTTTTATGTAATGTATATCAATATCTATATCTATATGTAAATTTATATAATATTTATGATACATATCTATGTGTGTGTGTGTCTTTGTTTATATGTGTATATTTTTGATCGTATTTTTGTCGAAATTCCCCTTCGTTTTATCTGTAAATTTCCGTATTAGAGAAAATTTCACTGCGAGAGAATGTTATTGCCTGCTCTGACCCTGAGCGGAGTGACGAAACAAGCAAACCAAAAGGGTGGTAATGCGATATCGCTCGAGTAAAAAAAACAAAATCACCCTCTTGCTTTTTGAATGACATGCTGTTGTTTTCTGTTGTTGTTTTTTTACGAGTGTGTATGTAGCGTACTCCCTCTTTCGGTTCCTCGGGTGACAAATCCTTCCCCACTTCTTTCCTCAGCAGATTTTTCTTCCCTAAGCTTTCCTATGGCTTCCCGGTTGACAGTCGTTGAAATAGACCCGATTAGTTTATAACCATTCCCGAGCAGACCATTGGCTATTCATTCATATAAGTATTCGATTAGAAGACATTGTCAGAGTTTTTGATATCTTGCTTTTAGGAATGGAGAATTGCTTTTAACAATGGAGAAGAAAGTGGAAGCGAATAGTCTTTAAAGTTTAGCTAAGTTATGATGAGTCATGGTGCACTCGGCAGATTTTATCAAGTTGTAATGCTCGTAATCGGCACTGTTGAAGATTAAAGATAAAGAAAGGATTCAAAGATAATTTATGGTTATCTTTCCCGTCTTTCGCCGACTACTATCGCCTTTGGTGAGAAGAAATAAAAAGATGAAGAAGAAATGCACAGACTGGCAGCAATTTCAAGGTCACCAGCTCAGGCTCACAGGCATTCGCTTGTGGCAATAACAACCACTCGGCGAGCACTTCCATTCACGTTGTAAAGAACAAAGACGAAAGAAAAAGACAACGAACACTACTGGAAAATTATCGTACTTTACGCTCATTGCATTAGTGCGAGGACAGCGTCGAGGAAAAGCTATCAGTCTACTCGCGTGGGAAGAAGTCAGAAGTCGCGCTCGTTGCTGTGTTTAAGGTGCGTCCCTTTCGTACAGTGGTTATTAGCCTTTTTAGAGTCACGAACGTCTTTTTAGAGTCTCTCTCTCTCTCTCTCTCTCTCTCTCTCTCTCTCTCTCTCTCTCTCTCTCTCTCTCTCTCTCTCTCTCTCTCTCTCTCTCTTTCTCTCTTTCTCTTTCTTCTTCTCTTCTCTTCTCTCTCTCTCTCTCTCTCTCTCTCTCTCTCTCTCTCTCTCTTCTCTCTCTCTCTCTCTCTCTCTCTCTCTCTCTCTCTCTCTCTCTTCTCTTTCTTTCTGCCCTGAAATAGTCACATAGACTCAGTTTTTGCTTGCAATGTGTATGGTGTACTGATAATGTTTATATTGTATCTATTGAGATCTGATTACCTCATTCATATATGATACACAAAGTAGTATTAAAGCTCAATTTAAACAACCCCCCCCCCCCAAAAAAAAAAAGAAATGTACCATCATAAATATTGATTTTATTCGATAATCACCCCCCCCCCCCAGAAACCCATCAAGATTAAGATCCCGCTTAGTACATTTATTTAATGAATTCTTCTATTTCGATTGTAAATCCTCAGCAGAAGATCCTTTTATCGTCAAATACCAACGATTTAGGTACCAATGTGTTGTTTGTTTGCGGCGTCTAATTATGATAGGTGTCAGAGATAACTTCCACGAAAACCACTCCCCTAGTCTGGACAAGGTTGGCTGGGGACATTACGAGGTAAAAGCGAAAGAACATTCACATAGTATACATAGTAAGAGCATCGTATATGTATAAATGTATGTATATGCATATACATACACATACACATATACATACGCATACGCATACGCATACGCATACGCATACGCATACGCATACACATACAATACGCACACGCACACCACACACACACACACACACACACACACACACACACACAACACACACACACACACACACACACACACACACACACACACACACACATATATATATATATATATATATATATATATATATATATATATATATATATATATTGCATTCATATATATATTTATCTCAAACGTATATATGATCATATACATAATGTGAATATAGAGATTGATGGTAAAGATAAATATGAAAGATAATCATCCTATTTTATCCTTTAAGACTGCTAAGTTTATAAAGTTGTAGACAGTGACAGTTGTATATCTATAGCCTTTGTTTCTGATGACATATTGTATATATCTCTATTAGCCATTATTTAATTAATTTGTCATTAAAAATAACTTGAGGTTCATGCATTATATTTAAGGTAATAAGTTAACACTTACTGCTTCTTTTTGTTTTATGTATCTGTTAATATTGATCGTTTAATTAATTTATAGGCGCGAGATCCATGATTAGAGGCTGGAAATGGTCTTATTTATATAATTGATGAAGAAGCCTTACCTGTTGCTTGTTTATAAAGTGTATCACTAATTTAATTGACAAACGTATTCAACTTTTCATAATTTCTGTGTTGCAACATTTTTAAAAGGAAAAAAAACTAACATGTCGGATGTGTTGTGTCACTTTCCTGAAATTTCTTACTTTATTTTCCCCGGAAATTACTCATTTAGAATGATAGAATCACCATGTTTGGTATGATAAGATGGTAGACGTTCTTAGTATGTTAATGGAATGCGTGTATATGGTAGTATATTCATGAAGACACAAATATGCTATTTGAAAAAAAAATCTCGAAAGAATTTTTTTTTTTTTTTTTTTTTTGCAGTTATTAGTGATTTACTTATATGTATAACCGAATCATTGGGTTTGAAATATTCAGTACAATGATAACCCGTTGCTATGCGTTCGCCGATAACACCGAGGAAGGCAAACACACCCCTTAGCGACCTCCACAGGCTCCACACATTCCGTGACTTGCAACTCCTGCCACGTCGGCCCCCAGTTGCCTCAGGGGAAGACCCATCACCGAATGCGTGGGAGAGAGACCAACACTCCGCGTCTGTTCCCTTAAATACAACGAAGAGCGTTCACGAAGGTTCACTCCGCCGGTACCTTCTCAGACAGAGGTAGAAATAAGTCGTGAGCTTCATCCGTCCGCCCGGGATGCTGTGAGATAAGGGACATCCTCGAGATCGGACACGGATCCGGTCATTTAGTTACCATTTCCTTACAGGATTCGTCATGGAGACCGAGAAGAAATGGCTGTGGAAGGCGACCATGGCGGAGATGTTCTTCGACGCCTCCAACCGGTTCCAGACCTTCATGGTGAGTTACCAGCTGACCGTCGCCACCGCCGCCCCCCTTCTCGAGGACCAGGTCACCTCCGCGCTCTCACACCTCTACAGGTACGGTTGCATTCCACGCTCGGCTGATTTTCAGGCGCTGTGGGGTTGGTGGATGGAAGTTCATTGGGGACATTCGGTTAAGATTCTTCTTCTTCAGTCCGCCAGTCGTATTCATGTCAGTAGAAGGTATTACGTGATAATGATTTAATTTTAAAAACTGGCACTCATGTACCTCTCACACTACAGACTTGCACAGGATACTAATTTTATCAAAGACACGAAAGTTAGACGTCAGAAAGTTATTTAACTAGACCCTAATCACCTTCGCCTTTCCTTCGCAGAAAAACGCCCAATTTGAGGGCGTGTTTTGACCAGCGGGACGGAACCACCTGGCTCAGGGAGATGGCGCAGGAGAAGATTGACTTCGAGGTGAGTATTGGGCCTTCCTTTAACGTCAGACTTTGCGTTGAATAACCTTATGGCGATTATGACACAAAGAACAGATTAGGTTTAAGCCCCTGAGTAAATGCACAAGGTTGTGGCCACATTTTGACAGGCAACAAGTTAGTATATGTTATTCAGTGGCGTGGCTAGTCATATATAAGTGGACGGCTAAAAAAAAATCTCTGCCTGTATTATAAAACGGATATTTATGTAATATCAGATATTTTTGTGAATGCTCGCCTCTCCCTTGGCCACGCCACTGATTTCTCCATATAAATGTATTTCCAATAGTTCAAGGTAGCATCTTTTATTTAGCACTTGAAGGACATCTCTCCTTAACTGCACTCTTTCCTCAGATGTTGCCAGAAACCGCCTCAGTAGCCGAGACA